GGGAACCGAACTCACGACCTTGTGCTTGCCAGGCAGGCGCTTTTGCCGCTGAGCTAAATCCCCAGCCCCTGAATTCATTAGTTCTAGAAGCTTTTTCTTTTACTTCTTTTTTTTGTGGTGCTGGGACTCAAACCAGGCCCTTGTGACTGCCAGGCACATGCTCGGCCACTGAGCGATGGTCCCAGCCCTAGTTCTTAAGATTTTATGTTAATAAACTCATATTATCTGCCAATAGAGTTTTACTTCTTCCCTTCTATATGCCTTTTATTCTGCTGTCTTGCCTAATTGGCCAGACCCTGCAGAACCGACACCTCTTCTAACCTGTAATAGGATTTGGGGGGTTGTTTGTTGTGGTGCTGGGGCTCAAACCTAGGGTAAGGTGCTGGGGAGAGAGCTCAGTGGCACAGCGCCTGCCTTGCAAGCACAAGGTCCTGAGTTTGATCCTGGTAAAAAACAAAAAACAAAAAACAAAAAACCTAGGACAAGCACTGTACCACTGAGTTACAGTCCTCCCCAGGTCCCTCTGCCCTTCTGTAAAAGCCATTTATTTATTGGAGCACCTGGTTCATTTGTGCAAGATTTTTTAATTTGGCTGTTACTTCCGGGGATGTCAGACTGGTCCCTCTGCCCCTGGTGACTGGATGAGATTGTACTTCGATTAAAAAAGCAGAGTCAGTGAACCATTGCTGAGGGAGGGCCAGGTGCCTTCCTGAGCCAGATCTCGCCTGGGGCTGTCATTTGGCAAGTTCTAGGTAGAGCAGGCCGTGGTCCCAGGGGACTGGTACAGCCTCCATCCCCGGGAGCCCTCTCCCCTCCTCAAGGCTGTGGCGGACACCCCCTTTGGGCTGACATCTTTGTTTCTCTGGCAGCTGGAGCAGTTTAAGGAGGACAACAGCGACATAGGCTTTGGCTCGGGCACCCGGGCTCTGGAGCAGGCCCTGGAGAAGACTCGAGCCAACATAAACTGGGTGAATGAGAACAAGGAGGCCGTGCTGCAGTGGTTCAACGCCAACAGCCAGTAGTTCCTGGTCCTTGGGGTCGCCTGGCCCTGGGAGGAGGCCCAGGGCTTTGTGGCCCAGCAGGACCTGCATCCTTGGAGGGCAACACCCAACCCTCAAAAACCAAGTCTCCAGTCTGTGGGGCCATCAGCCCTGCCCCTCATGCCAACACGGCCCCAGGCCCTGCCTGGCACCTGTCTCCCAGGGCTGATCTCAGGGAATCTCAGCTCCATAGCCAGCTGGGCAGAAGCCATCGATGGACATTAGACAGCCTAGAGGGGCCGCCCTGAGGCCCTCATGCCCCAGAAAGACTGGAACCTGAGCAATCAACAGGGAATCAGATCTGTATATTTTTTTTCTAAGAGAAATTGTAAATAAAGGCTTTCTAGATGAGCTTCAGGACTCTTGCCTAAGCTGGAGCAGCCTGGGGCCGGGGATATAGCTCAGCGGCACAAGGGCCTGCCTGGCAAGCACAAAGTCCTGAGTTCAATTCCCCGTACCAAAAACAAAACAAAACAAAACAATAAAGATTGAGGAATAATTTAAGCTGGGCGTGGTGGCACACGCCTGTAATCCCAGCACTTGGGAGGCTGAGGCAGGAGGATCATTGCAAGTTCAAGACATGCCTGGGCTACAGGTGAGCTCAAGGCCAGCCTAAACTGCATAGCGAAACCCTCTCTCAAAAAGACAAAAAAAAGAAAACAGAAAAAGTGCTGGAGCAGGAGCAGGGAGCCAGCCCCCAACAGACTGTGATGCCACTGGGAAGTGGGTCCTTCATCCTCGATATTTGTGTCTCTGATGAAAGATTTCAGTCCAGACACACAGGCAGCTGTGCAGAAGCCTGTATTTGTAAAGCAAATACAGCCAGAGGGACGGCTGCTAGTGAGAAGGCAGACCTTTTCATGCAGTTATTCTCGAGTTCAGGGAACAACGGTAATTGTGCTGTTTATCCATATTTTTCTTAGAGGTGGCTTTGAAATGTCCATATCTCTAAAACATCTTATTCTGTTCGGGTGGCTAGTGTTCCCTCGGGGCCTTAGCCATTAAGAAATTTCTGAAAGATGAGTTCTAGCGTGAATCGGGTCTCAGCCAGGGGAGGGAGGGTCTTTAAAGAATATTCCTGGCCAGTACCACCGGGCACCTGCTGTGGCACCTAGGAATGCTGTGTGCCTTTTTTTTTTTTCCCAGTACCAGGAATCAAACTGACGACCTCGCACTTGCCAGGCAGGCGAGTGGTGCTGAGCTAAATCCCCAGCTCCTTTGTTTTGAAAATAGATTCCCAGGTGTCAGAAGGAACGTGCACAAACGGGTAACCTTCACATGTCATTGTGTGTGTAGGGTGGCTCTGGGGCTGAGACCTGACAGATAATTAGAGATGTACCACACAGCATGCTCTTTCTTAAGTATAACCTGCAAGGCTGTTAGGGACCCTGCCCGTCCCGTGTCTCTTAGGCCGGTTAGTGTCCAACTGCCTGCCTGCCACGGAGTCCACGGCTGTCACCGTACCGGGCACAGAGTCCGTTCTGACAGATGGAGAGGGATGGAGTGCTTTTGTGGAAAGCACCATCCCAATGCAAGTCCGGGGAGCAGGGTGCTGCCGGGGCGCCTCTTCCTCAGCCCCAGGAGCCCCAGGACAGTTGGGACAGCAGCGGTGACCCAGTCAGAGAGCACTGTAGGGATGGAGAATCCTGAGCCCGTCAGCTATTACTCCTGAAGAGCTTGACTTGGGTTTTGCACAAAGGTAGCCAGGGACTTCAAAGTGGTTTTTACTAAAAACTACGACTGTTCACGTGGGCCTACAAACGCCCAATAGATGACTGAAAGCAGAACAGATCTTGACCTTCAGTTTGTTACTGCGACTCTTTGAATGGGCGCGATGGTCGTCAAGGGGGGCTCTGTCTGAAAGGTGGGGGCCGAGGTTGAGGGACGTTGCCCGCACTCTGGATTGAAGTCAGCGAGATGAAGAGATTTATGAGGACTTCCAAGCGCGCCCACAAGTCTCCGGCCATTGTCCCAAATCTGATCACCTGGATGCCACAGAAAGCAAAGGCCCAGGTGACAGAACCCACGAGAACAGAGAACCCTTTCAGGGGAACAGAACGCACCTCAGCCACCGGGATTCCAGAGCTAATGATCTGGGGACCCAGCCCAGCTGACCCTTCAAGCTGTCCTCCTGCCTTTTTGGGTGGCCTGATCTTAGCTCCTCAACCACAGGTCCCTTACCACTTTTCTGAGTTTCCAATTAAAGCTTTTTCCTGTTAATTTGTGTTTTAGTGTTTTAGTTTAGTTTAGTTAGTTTGTTTGTTTGTTTTGATAGGCTGGACTTGAACTCACTATGTAGCCCACGCTGCCTTGAACTTGGAGCAATCCTCTTGCCTCAACCTCCAAGTTCTGGGATAATGCTATAGTTTTAATTTTTATTATTACTAAAAACAAGAACCCAGGCTGGGTGTGGTGGCGCAAACCTGTAATCCCAGCACTCAGGAGGCTGAGGCAGGAGGATCCTAGTGAGTTCAAGGCCTGCTTGGGCTACAAAGTGAGTTCAAGACGAGTGTGAACTACATAGTGAAACCCTGTCTCAAAAAAGGCAAAACAAAACAAACAAAAAAAGCCAAAAAAAACACCAAACCCCAAGAACCCATGCTAGCCACAATGCAGTGATACATTGGGGGCCAGGGGGAGTCCCCACGCCTACAGCTAGCGCTCCTGGCCGAGGGCCTGTCTCGTGGCCTCTCCAGGCTCTGGGGCGGTCTGATAGTACTCGATGAAGAGGGCGGGTGTCTTCTGGAGCAGCCTTGAAGGGGCTGGGCTGAGGGCTGGGACAGGCCAGTCACCAGGCTAGGCTGTGTCTCTCCCGGTACAGGAGGCCGCTCTGTACTCTGCAGGTGAGCTGGTGGCCGGGGCTGGGGAGAAGGCAGGTGAGTCTTTGGTGGCCCCCAGGCGTTTCTTGGGGTGAGGCTGGAGCTGGGCTGTGGGGAGCTCCCCCTGGCCCTGGCTCTGGCCCTGGCCCCGCCCCCACCCCAGGCCCTGTTGAGCATCCAGCTTGGTGATAGGCGCAGAAGGGGGTCGTGGGCAGCTGCAGGAACTTGGGTCACCTCCAGTTGCCACCCACAGCAGGGTCCTCAGCTGGATCTTGGGGCCCACTCTCTGAAGTCAGCGATCTGAACCCGGAGCCTCTGTCTTCTCACATCATGAGGACTGAGGTCAGGGTGTGACCTGTGAGCACACGGGCCCTCCCAGAAGAGCTGGCTGTTGTGTCCCTAGCCCGGGATCCTGGCTGGGAGCCCACCAGCCACCCTCAACCCCAGCCCACCCCCGCCAGTGTGAGAAGCTGTGGCCAGGCCAGGGGCCTGGAAGGCTCCAGACTCCCCTGCTGCCATTTGCACATCAAACGGCAGGGCCGGGCCAGCCGGTGTGGGGCCCTGCCCAGGGAAGCTCCCTGGGTCTCCGGATTAAATCCCCAACCCCTCCGCTGGGGGCCAGCCCTTCCTGTCGCCAGCACCCAGCAGCCATGGCTGGCACTTGACCTTCTCAAGCCCAGATCCGGGAGGAGCAGCCGCAGCACTTGGGTCCCTGGTGGGCTCGGTGCTCCTGGAACACTGCTAGTGACAGCCTGCTAGAGAGAAAAGCTGCCAGATCCTGTTACTCCTGTGGCCAGCACGGGCCCAGCTGTTGATGTACATTATCTGATCCTAAGGGAAGACCATCTTTTTCTTGGCTTTTTTTTTTGTCTTTTGTCTTTTTGAGACTGGGTCTTGCTATGCTGTTCTGGCTGGTTTTGAGCACTTTGTAGCCCAGCTGGTGTGGAACTTGAGAGGATCCTCCTGCCTCAGCCTCTCGAGTACTGGGATTACAGGTGTTGTGTCACTATACCCGGCGTATTTTGGCTTTTTAAAAAATGATTTTTGTCTTGTTTTATTTATTTACTTATTTATTTATGTTTCTTTGAGACAGAGTCTTGCTACATAGCCCAGGCTGGCCTCAAACTCACAGCAACCCTACTGCCTCAGACTCCTAAGTGCTGGGTGTGTGCCACCAGACCCAGCTTAAAAATTTTTTATTATTTGATTATTCTTTATGAATATGTTTTTGGTGCTGGTTTCCATTACCAGGCCAGGGCCTCACACGCGAGCAGACGCTCTTCCACTGAGCCGCACCTTCAGACCTCTTTCTCTGTCAATCAAGGACGCTGGGGCACAGGGAGCGGCTCTGGCCGGGTGCTGCACACAGGGGAAGCCCGGGTTCGTTTGGAGCCGGTGAGGGTCTGTGACATCACACCTGCATCTTCTGATGTCGGCTCACAATGCTGGCATCCATCATGCCCCACACGGCTGGAGGAAACCAGTCCGTGAAGACCCACCACCTGCAGAGCCTTGGCCAAGCACTGCACAGAAACTAACAGAATTCAGGCTGCTGACGCCCACCCAGGGCCCCGCCCACCAGTATGGGGACTGTGTGCAGCCCAGGCCCTGGGAGCTACAGAAAGCAGAAGGCATGGGCCGGCCAGAGGTGACCTTGCAGCACCCCAAGCTGGGCAGTGCAGCTTCTCGTAGCCTCGGAGGCCATGTGCACAATCAGTGCATCTTCTACAATGCTGGGCCCAGCGTCTTCCACATTTGGTCACTGGCTGGCTGGAGAGACACTCAGCAGGTGTCCAGCCCCTTACAGATGGTGCCTGGGGTCCCCAGGAAGATGTAGGTCAACCACTCATCGCAGGGAGGGTGCCCGCATCAGCCTCTTTCTCCCCTGCTGGGACTTAGCAGAGAGGCGCAGCGCAGGGTACTGCCTGGGTCCTGCAGCCCGGGTCGGAGCCACAGACAGGCCCGGGGTGGTAGGGAACGCTGTTCCAAAAGGCCACAGCAGGGGCTGCCCCTCCCGGAGGGTGCAGGCCGGGCCTCCCCTCACTGGAGCAGCTCTCAGGATGTCTCCCAGGCCTCTCCAGCTGGCCGTCACCTGTGGCTCCTGCCCCAGTGGCAGCGCTTCTCGCTTGAGCCTCAGTTTCCCCAGCTGTAAAATGAAGAGGTAAAGAAGATCCATTGCTCCTTAATCTGGTGGGCCTCAGCATCCCATAGAGAGGATCTTAGGATCTGGCACACTAAATGGATCGCTCAGAGCGTGACCCTGGACCCAGATGACTCAACGCACAGCCAGGTTTAGTTTCTTTTTTTTTCTTTTCTTTTGTCTTTTTGAGACAGGGTCTCGCTATGCAGTTCAGGCCGGCCTTGAGCTCACTTTGTATCCCAGGCTGGCCTCGAACTTGAAATGATCTTCCTGCCTCAGCCTCCTGAGTGCTGGGATTACAGGCATGCTCCACCATACCGGGCTGGCAGGTTTAGTTTCAATTAGCAATAACCACTCCTTGGATAAACCTCATTGGCTACGATACTCCCACTGTGCAAAGCTCACAGCCAGATTTAGGAGCCACTTGACTAGGTCATCTTTTAAGCAATGTCTCTACTCAGCTATGCCTATTATTGAGGACTTACTATGTGCCAAGTGTAAGAATCCTGATACTAAAGAAAAGCTACCTGGGTGTGGTGGTGCAGCCCTGTAATCCCAGCCCTCAGGAGGCTGAGGCAGGGAGACTTCAAAGCTTGCCCACAGTTACACAGAGTGCTTAACATCGTAAGTTATTAGCTGAACCACATTCCCCTAAAATTGCTGTTTAAGCCCTGCTAGAGCTTGGATGTTGGCTGTCTCCCAAAAGTCCACGGATGGAGCTATTGGGAGGTAATGGCAGGTGGAGCCCCATGGGAGATCCTGAGGTCAGTGGTGGTGGCCATCACAGGCAACTGCCTTGGCCCTTCCTTCTGCTCTTTGCCTCTTGTTCAGCCAGGCATTCCTGTTGTGGCTCAGTGCTCTTGGGAGAGGTTCACAGCAATGGGGCCAGTCAGCCTGGGAGCACCAGAGCCATGAGCCAGAACAAACCTTTTCTCTATAACTTGCCTCGGGTATTTTGTTATAGAGAGAAAAAAAATGACTAATACAAGGCCTTACCTCTAGTACTGCAGAATGGAGTTGAATTTGGAGGGCTCCTTTAAAGAGGTAATTAAGACTAAATGAAGTCCTTAGGGTGGGCCCTACCTCAGTATGACTGGTATCCTTCTAAGAGCTAGAAATAAATGACACAGTGAGGAGGAGGCCATGTACAAGCCAAGGAGGCCTCAGAAACAACCCTGCCCACACGTCCACCACAGCAGCTTTGGATTCAAGGAGGGGAAATGCAACCGGATGTTTCCCAAAGGTTCCCATTCTGTCCCCCTTTTCCAGAAAACCTAGAAAGACCTACAAGGATAGAAGGAAAACAGACCAAACCAAACTTTTACTAGGTGTATTTTTGCTTTATTAAAGAATTACAACGTCTCTAAGCACACAGGATCCTGGCCAGCTGTTACGCAGAGGCAGGGCGCAGGCCTGGCTCCCACTCGCCTCCCCATCAGTCCCACCCTGGCCTTGTCTGGGGTCAAGCAGTGCCCTGGTCTGAGCCGCCTGGACCGTGCTCTGTGGCACACAGGGTTCCACAGGGCAGTGCCCGGCAGTGGAGGGCACTGCCACGGCCCCCACTTTGGCCAGGGAGGACCCCCATTATGTGTTTTCCCACACTGTTTCATCGGTAGGCACTGCACAGAACAAGGGCTCCTTGGCAAAAGGAAGCTTTAAAAGGCTCCGAAGAAGCACATGACCAGTCCACACAACGGGCCTGACTTCAGGCTGAAAAGGGTGTCCACAGAGCCATTAGTAGAAGATGCCCAGATGGGTGCCCTCCAAATCTTCTTGGCAAAGTTCAGGGCAGCCGCTGAGCCGCAGGCCTGAGCGTTGGGCCGGGCTCACATCAGTGGGCTGGACGGCGGGCCTGGGCCCCTGGGGCTCTGAGCTGGGCAGCACCTCGGCACTGCGGCCCCAGCAACCCCACGGGGTGTGAGGCTGGAGTCTCTGGCATGAAGGGTGGGCCAGGAGGGGTGGGCTCCCCAGTGACAGACAGGACTCCTGCACAGAGATCCCCTGTGGGAGAGAACAGCTTGTTAGTGGGGTGCTCGCAGGCTGTGGCTGGTGACATCTGGACAGCAGCAGTGCCAGGGATGCAGGGAGCAGAGTGGTCACCAGTGCAGGCTCTAGAGCGCACTGCCACCCCTCACACCCCAGCACTGCTTCTCATTGCTGTGCGAACTCGGGCAAGCTCTTTTTGCCTCAGCTGTCTCATCTGTACAGTGGGGCTGCGAATGACCATTTTGCAGAGTTGTTAGAAGGGTTGAATGAAGACGTACAAAGTGCCAAGCACTAGGGGGGGCAAACAGGAAGTGTTTAATAAAGTTTGGTTATTTGGTTTTGGTTGTTGTTTTTTATGCTAGAAAGGATGAAACCCAGGCCCTTTGCAGTGAACTAAATCCCTAGCTTTTTAAAGTAATTTTTTTTTTTTCTTTTGTCTTTTTGAGACAGGGTCTCACTATGCAGTGCAGGCTGGCCTTGAACTCACTTTGTAGTCCAGGCTGGTCTCGAACTCGCAAGGATCCTCCTGCCTCAGCCTCCAGAGTGCTGGGATTACAGGCATGCGCCATCAGGCCCAGTTTAAAAAAAAATTTAAACAGGGTTTCTTTTTTTTTTGTTTTTTTTTCCGGTACCAGGAATCAAACTCATGACCTTGCACTTGCCAGGCAGGTGCTGTGCCGCTGAGCTAAATCCCCAGCCCCTTAAACGGGGTTTCAATCCCTAACTTGCTTAGGTTGAGTTTAAACTTTCAATCCTCCTGCTTCAGGCTCCCAGAGAGCTGTGGTGTGCCACCACATCCAGCAAAATTTGGTTCTTAATAGGTCCTTTATAGACTGCAAATCATTCATAAATGAATGAATGAAACATGAAAAAATGGTGAAGGTTCCAACTCCAGGCCCATCTGTTCGGGAGCACTGTCTTTACCCTTGGCCCTACTTCCCCTCACTGAAGCCTTAAGGAGCACTTAGAATTTCCTGACAGCAGCCCCTACCCGGGTCTTCCACCCAGGCCTCTGAGCAAGACAGGTGGGCCATCCCTCACCTCTTCCCCCAAGGTCCCTTCCACCCCACCCCCACAATTAAGATACCTGGGATCCCTTAGGTCCCACTCCTTTGCCGAGATCACTCACCCACTCATTTTTTTTTTTTTTTCCGGGACTGGGAATTGAACTCACAACCTTGCGCTTGCCAGGCAGGCGCTATGCCACTGAGCTAAATCCCCAGCCCCTTCACCCACTCATTTACCACTGAGCCCAGGACCACCCTGAGAACAGGGGTCAGGGCTGCTGTTCGTACCTGGTACACGGCCACCAGCTCGGGGGGCGGAGGCGGCGTCGGCGTCCAGGGCACAGCGGCGCTCGCGGGCTCTGGGGACGGCTGCGTCCCCGCGCAGGCCTGCGGCTGCATCCAAAGAGCAGCGTCGGGGGCTATCCCCAGGGGCTGGTGCGGGGGCGACTGCATCTTGGGGCAGTAAGGGGGTGTTCCCCAGGGATCCGCGTCGGAGACCCTGCTCCCCAGGCTCTCGGCCGCAGCGCTGGGTCCGGGGCAGGCGCTCGGGGACCCCCAGGACACCCCGCCGCCGTCG